AGGTTCAAAATTAGTGAAAATAAATCAGAAAACATTACTTTTACCCTAAATCTGGCTACATGTCCTCCAGTATCCATGAACAATATTCACCACCCTAAAGTAACAGAAATAAAATACTTGGGCATGCACTTAGATGCAAAGCTTAATTGGAAGGCACATATCTGGACTAAAAGACAATATCTAAATTTTAAAATAACTAAGCTTAATTGTCTTCTTGGATCTAAATCAAAACTTAGTACACAAAATAATGTTACTTTGCAGAAAAGTTATAAAACCAATTTGGACTTATGGGATCCAACTTTGGGGATCATCAAGTACATCAAACATTGAAATTTTTCAACGATACCAATCAAAATTGCTACGTAAAATTGTCAACGCACCTTGGTTTGTTACTAACAGAACACTTCATAATAATCTTAGAATTTGAAAAGTCAAAGAAGAAATTACAAAATCTAGTGAAAAAAGATAATCAAATTGGAAAATCATTCAAAATCGTCTTATACAAAACAACTTTTGCAAAACTTATGACAGCTAGCCTGACCATACTACTGGAACGAATTACACGCGGTTGGTACCAAATGAAAGATATTTTCCTGTAGATGTGATGAATCCCTTTATAAATTAAAATAGGCTCAAAAATAAACACAAGAAACGAATTTAAAATTAAAAAAATAACTTGGGCCGTATGGGTTGCCATGTAGGTAACGAAATAACAACTAAATGTAAACAGAAAATAAAACCAAATAGAAGAAATTCCATTTACATGTCTTATTTATAGCATAGGGTAAATATAGATAAGTTGGAAAAATACATACTTTTGGTCAAGTTTCCGACCACAAGGCGAGCTCTCATCTTGCACTAAATTTATTGGACAATCACAACACCATTTACGACATTAAACCTCCCATTCAGATTCGGCTGTGTTATCAAAATTATCTTTGTTAGCTAGTGTTGAGAGTGGTAAATCACTATACTTTTAACGTTGTATTATTGTTAATGTATTTGCTTATTTTTCTACTTTTGAAACAGACTGTAAATTAACTAAAACATCATAGTGTGGTGAAAAAAATTATACATACTTTCGATACATGCGATTGCATACAATCGAAGCTCACAACTGAGTTTAAATCAGCTGACTTTCACTTCCTAGGGAGAAAATAGTGAAAATACCTACTTTAAGCTCACTAAATACGGCTGTTTTTGCTGCAGTATGACTCAGCGTTTGCAGTATGCTTCAGTGTTTTAATAAATATTTGATAGTTAATTTGTCGATAGTGTAATGCAGGTTAATCTTATATAATTCATTACAATGATCAACCACCAAAACACATACTTCAGATTCAGTTAAGCCTAAAATTATTCAAAGATCCCGTGGGTGATAACATAGGTACCAAAAAGATATTTTTTAGATTTTAAGATGAAAAATTAACTGATGAAGAAGCGGATGAAGCAACAGTCTGATCTAGAGTTAAGTTCACAAGAACAGTGGGAATGAAGCTAGTAATTAAGTCTAGTAATTAACGGTAGTATACAAAATACGAAACGTGACATTGGATTGGGCCGTTGAGTATTTTGAATACAATAGGGGTACTCGTCAAACAGTTAAATATTATTATTTCTATGAATTTAATGGGTAACTTTAAAAGATTAGGTGGAATTTCTAACAATACTTCACCGTAATCAGCAGCAAACATACATAAGGAATTCCAGTTATTACAACAGACGCTCTGACAGCCCATTAACATAAGACCTGCAGACGGGTCAACGAATATGCTGAAAAAAATAACGAGATAAGTGAGTGTTAAAGTGACTATTTATATCCGGTCGTCATACGCCACGAGACATTCCGTCAGTGAATGGGAGGCCCACACAAGGGTGAAGATCGATAACGCGCTGCATTTGGAATGGAATAAATTGCACAGGTCCTCGAAAAGTACTAAATTCTCGAGTCCCGAAAAAGTCAAGTCCCCAAAATGTTTTATACACTTATATATATATGAATTTGAACGGATGGTGTTTTTGGCCTCTAGGGACTCAAAACGAAAAATTACATCGGTCCCGGGTCCAGGTGTTCCCATGAGTTATACGGTAATAGCTTATTCCCTATATGCGAAATTCGCTAAAAACCTAATAATTCTATAGAATAACAAGCTGTACCCGCTGGCTTTGCCCCGTTAAACTAATTAATTTTCAAGATTAGCTCGTTCGCATGGCTCAATCAAGTCCTGGTTGAAGTTCGTTCGCTACGCTCTCTCACCTTTAGGTTGGAGCTCGTTCGCTGAGCTCACTTGCCTTGGGGTTAACTCACCTCCAGGTTGAAGTTCGTTCGAAACGCTCACTCAGCTTTTGGTTGCAAATTAGCTGTTGTCATAAATTGTTGAATTGACACAGCTGTTATGATTCATTAATTCCTTTTAAATATGAAAAATCATAAGGTTCAGATGGGAAACTCCAGAGCCACTGGGGCGGAGCCCGAATGCCCGATCATAATAAAAACTACTTAGTTTTCCTATTTAATGCCCAAAGAATCGGTGAATCGAATTTCAACCTCCTAGGTAAATGGGAAGTGGGAGAATTAGTGATGATGCGTGAGTGAGAGTGAGTGTGTCAGTGAGGGCTTTGCCTTTTATAAGTATACATAGCACATTCAACCAGCTGTTAGTTAAAACAAATTATATTGGACTAAAACAAATCGATGATTACAAAGAATACTTTAAAAAATAATTTGAACATCCTACTACTGTACCTATTTTACTATGCACATTTAATTAAACTGCCATCCTCGTACCGAAGAATTAAATGTATCAATGGTCAGCATTACACATACATAGTATAAATAAGTCAACCATAAGTATGTATTTGAATTTTCTTCCAAATGCTGAATTTGTGTCACAAATACTGAATGTTACAGCTGTTATGTTAAGCAAATTATATTGTACTAAAAGCTAGCTAGAAGCATTGACTTATTGGAGAAGGTTAGCATCGGCTGCTAGACTTTTTAAAAACTAAAACTTAATTTATAAAAAACTGGGACATTAATTTTAAATTATGGCTTTGAAATTATCTAGTTCTCAAAATTGTCTTTCTTTCAACACAAAACTAATGAAAATCCATCGACTGGTTGATTCAGAATCGTGAAAAACCCCCATTTACGTTATAATAATATATATGATAGTTTGGACAGGTTTCAACCCTTCCGTGGCGTAATACATTACACAGTTTATATGTAGACTACATTATAACTCATAAAATAGTTCTACAATTAAACGGATCTCCTTTTACAAACGTATATAATAACCAGAAATGTTCAGATCGTCCTTGCGTGTATTTTATGCCACAAATTTTGACGAAAGGCTTTTCATTACATAAACTATACCTATTTACAGTGTTGACCAAACAGTTGGCAAGAAGCATTAATAAATAAGCTATGTACTAAATATGATAATTTTAGCTCTATTCTAATTATGACAAAACACGAAGTAACTAAAAGCGAGTTTTGTTGGTGTAGTAAGCGTTGCAGGAGGTCTACTTTACACTGAATCGACGTTCACTTTTATTGCTTTTGATCTTCCGGCACTGTTGACTCAGCGAAACTGAACTTGTATTTTACCGTATTTCGTTATATTAAACCTGCTGTTGCATTAGGTCAAATTCCCAATAAGTCAATTGCTTTAACATAGACTAAACTTTTAGCCCGGACTGTACTATTTGACTTTCTGGGATTTTTGATCTACAGACACTGCAAAAATTGTAGTTTTTGACCTAGCGGCACAGGTATAAATTATTTGATCTTCCGGGACTGTTGACTTTCAGCAACATTCCCATTTTAACTAAAGGTTTAAATAACCTGGTTACTGTCACAAGATCCAGTGTAGCTGTTCAAACTATACAGATTCGTTTTAACAGTAACCAGGTAATATAAACCTTCTACAATCAAAATAAACTATATTTTATAAATAAAAATTGTAAATTTAAAATCCCCATGTTATTCTTAAGGAGATAATTGTAAAATGTTGTAGTTTGCTTGTTATGGATATATTTGGATCAAACTTGGCAAATTTATTTATTGTATATCAATCTATTAATATTTAACTAAAAATCCACTTTAATAGTTTTCTTGTAGCAGCAAACCTAAGTAAAATCGTTAAAACATTATTTAAATAGATTGAATTGAAAGGACATTCGCTTAGTCGGCAGGTTTGCTGCGGCGGGGGTATTTTATTAGGTGTTTGGCTGGTTCCCTCTGTCTGTAAAATTGAAAATGGACAGTTTTTTATCAAGTATTTGGCTGCTTCACTATGTGTGGTGAAGTAGGTCAGCAACACACGGAGGTGACAAGTTGTGTGCTGAGTTGTTGTGTTGGAAGTAGGTCGTGATGAAATGGCTTAATTGACGTAATTTATTTTATATATGAACTTGGTATGCTTAGCTTCTGTTTATCATAAAATAGTGTTGTTAAGATAAAGATTCGTTTTCCGCATTATTAGTTTAGTTAAGATCCTGTTTAAGTTTAGATTTATAAGAATGTGAAGTCAAGTGCTTGAAAAAGTCTTGGTGCCTACTGGTGTCTACTTTAGTTGCAGTTTCTATCTTATTGATAAAGATTATGTTGCAAAAACTTACAGTTCTTCCTGTTGTGGTTGTGAGTATAGTTGTGATTATGTGTTGGTGAATAATCACTACTAATATAACTGTTTTTTGGGAGGTCACTTTCACAGAAATGTTACTTGTTGGCCATCTTGGTTTTTACCAACGAGGTCAACGAGTCTTAATTAAACTGACTGTTCTACTTGTAGACATGCTGACCTTCAAAAGTTGTGGTTCATGTTGTAGGCCTATACATGAATTTCATCTAATAAAATATTTCAATAAACCTAATTGAGTGAAACGGACCAATGTTTTGATGACAAGGCTTGAATGTCAAGTACTGAGTATTTAGCTGTGCATTTTAAATGTCCAACGAGTAAGGGACGCGGACTAACAGATAACAAGTTAGTTACCTGTGAGAAGCCCCCCAGAAGGATCCTGTCACTAGGGATGCCGTTTTTCTCCTCAGACTCTATAAGGGCGTGGATATTCTCCGCAGCCTTCTTGATCCCCACCTCATCCTCTGGTCCAGATGCCTCCAGAGACTTGAGGTCGAACCACGACGGCATCCTGAACCCACTGTTGAGCGTCACCGGCATCGTCGGACTGTGGAAAACAAAATGGTGATTCAGTGTCAATATGAATAATGAATAAGAGAATTTATTTCCGTTGAATACAAACTTATTACATACATTGACAGTGTTTGAAAATTGACTGGCCGCTTTTCAAGTAGTGCTGCCAGTTAGAACAAATAAATACAATAAATTATAACAGATTTTGAGTCTAGCATCATGCATTAAAAACTCTCGTGCTGCCATTTGGGTATATGCTAAATACATATAGGCTATTAATATAATAAATAATCAACAATATAAGTGTTGCAAATTATAGGTGCACAATTAAATAACACTAATCTATATATATAAAATCCAATGTTTATTTGTTTGTCCTTTATGGACTCCAAAACCGCTTGACATATTGTAATGAAACTTTCAGGCATTATTAAGCATTATTCAAGGATGTTTTGTGTGAAGTTTGGTGCAGATCTGTCAAAAGGGCTCTGCCCCAGTGGCTCTGGAGTTTCCCATGTTAACCTTATGAGTACTCATATTTAAATGGAATTAAAGAATCTTAACAGCTGGTTCCACTAAACAATTTGATTCTGTGATGTTCAGTAGCATTAAAAAGCTAATAGGTTTACCAACAGGGTGCAGCACTAAAATTTATGACAGCAGCTAATTTGCAATCAAAAGGTGAGTGAGAGTAGCGAACGAACTTCAACCTGGAGGCGAGTTAGCGTAGCGAACAAGCTAATCTGAATGCAAGCGAGCGCAACAAACGAGCTCCAATCCAAAGGTGAATGAGGGTAGCGAACGAACTTCAACCAGGTCGTGTTTGAGCCATGCGAACAAGCTCATCTTGAAAATGAACGGGCATTTGACATAAAACTTTTGTAATTTTTGTTTAATTCAGTGACCCTCCTCCTCTTAACAAGGGAGTTAAAGTGGTTTGGTGATTAACGTGTTTCGCAACTTTGCACCCCCACCCTTAGGTTGTCGACCACCTCTGGATGTGACGACATGGGTTTTTACACTCACCTAGCCCCCCATTACCAAAACTTAAAAGTCAAAATCTCTGACTCTTTTCATGCATACTCAACTGCACCTAGCGCCTGTACTAAATGGATGAACAAATATAAAATAAAACTTTATACAGAATGAACAGAACATAGCCCAATTAGCGTTTTTACATCTATGAATAGGACTTTACCAACCACTACCTTTAATGTTAGTTTTAGTAGGAGTAATTTATTTAACAGTTACTACCTACATGATAACTATAAGAAAGCAAATCCCAAACAATATCTTCTACCATTCTGTGCTTGACACTCTGATGCAAAGCTACTTCTGTTTTAAAGTATTGAGTAAACACGTTTTCCAAATTGTAACCAATGTGTGGTTCCATATAGGTTTTTTTTTTCAACTAGGTCCTAAATGTCAGCCTATACTTGAAACCCAAATATAAATTAAGTTATTGTTTTTGTTTAGTAGTTCACTTATTGAAAATCAGGGTATAAAAATACATTCAGATATGAAGAATGAAATAGGTTATAGTTTGACCGTTACACGGTATGTAGCCATTTGATGCTGATAACTCTTATCTTGGCGACCTTCGACAGTTGAGAGTGATCTGCTCTGTTGCATTGGTATAGTTAACTAGAGTAGGTTGTGTAAAAGGCTTTAATGGAAAAGTGTAACCAAACTATCAATTTAAACTATCCATTAAGCATGAATAAAAATATCAACATTATACAATAGCCGCACCTTAAGACAGACACTTCTAATGATTCTTATTAAAATAACTTAAATTTCACTGGACAGTTAAGTTTTATTTTGTAAAACCAACTAGTCTTATGTGAATTCTAATATTGTAAAAATGACTAGTTTTGTAAATTTATTTTTTGTATAGGCCTTTGAAGCATACATTTCAAAAAATGTTATCGAAACGTGAATGATAACAATTAACTTTAACGTGGTTGTTTTAACTTTATACTTTTCTTTTAAAATGCCGACCATACGAATTCCGGTATTTTAAGCCAAGTATGAATGTAGATAAGTGTGGGATGAGTGGTGCGATCTTACAGTCTTGTTAGTGAACAGAGTTGACTTATTCCTTAGACACAGCTGTTAATTAATAGTCCATACAGGTTAATGTCACCTAAGGTTATAATGGACAGGTAATAACGGAATCCAAACCACATTTTTGCCTTGTAATTTCCGAATAAGTCTAATCATCAGGATAGTACTTCGGATAGTCGTAGTACTCACCACGAGATTGATTAGCACAGGATGTCAAAAGTGGAACGTTTTTCATATTTTAAAATCTCATTCTAAAAGAACATAATTTCAGTACGAAAAACGTACTGTACAAGTTTTAATGCATCAACTTGACACAAAAACAAGAAGACATATTGGTTGCACTGAATCAAAATGTAGGCATAAAACCATAATGAATTATCCTAAAGTAAGAATGGTGCAATAATTTGGTTTTTAGAAATTCTCTGTGGAGAGGAACGTATTAGTACACCTATCCAAAAAAATGCCATGCCTGTTGGTGGGTTAAACTGACTTAAAAATGTAAAACAAAGTACACTCACGCTGTAGGACAGATGACTTTCATGTAGGGCTGACGGATTTCTGTCATCGCAGTGGCCCAACCATGCCTGGAAAGTGACAATGTTTTAGTATAAGGCATAGTGTAAAAATAACAGAATATCTTATTTTATGAGCTGTCAGATAATTTTGTCTAAGTGTACAGTATACTCCCTCTTATCCGGACACCTTTTAACCGGACATCGGTTTAACCGGACTATACTCGGCGGAAATGACATCTCTTTAACCAGACAATTTTTATCAGCACATTGGTTTAACCGGACTAGATTGGCAGGAAGTGGGCAGTACTGAAGCGACTGTTCTTGTGGGAAAGATTTGAGACCAGTGATCACGTGTCAAATACAATGCTCTCCTAAATTTAAGTCGAATATCACGGCAACAGGTCCGTTTTAACGAGTTTTTGGGGACGTCGGTTTAACCGGAAAACTCGTTATCCGGACTGGCCTCGGTCCCGAGGAGTCTGGATAAGAGGTAGTCTACTGTATTTCGTATCACACTCCATGCTTCTGTAATGAGTCGTCGCACTGCCTGCTTCCCACTGAAACCGGTTAGAAGAAAACTTTTATTCTAAATCAGTAAACAAATTTGACAGTTGAGATCATTTGACAGTAGATCATTGGGATTTTAAAAACCTATTGTAGGCAACATTTCATTTGGTATTAGGTTAAGAAATTTTATTTCTAGAAAAAAATATACAGATTTAAAGACTAAACATTTACCTTTACAATTTTTATATAGTTACTGGCTTACCCCGTCGTGGCTTTGCTCACGAAATTTTAAGTTAAACATGTGACCACTAAAGTTCAACTAAGAGAGAACATAACTTTACAATAATATTTGTCCCACTACCAGGAGCTTAGGACTGCTTACTCTGAAACCACCTAAATAATGTTTTTGTTAGATATTCCCACTACATCTCCTTTCACTTAGGTTTAGTTACATGCTTAAACCTAATTTTCCAATAGTACTGTCAGATCTCCCATGGCTTATTGGAAAGTTATATCTATCTTAAAGTAACATTGAGTAACATAAAAACCTTATACAATGTTTTATTGGCAGAGCCCTGACGGAATTTCTTGAAAACGCTTCTTATTGCACACCTAGAGACTAATTAGAATCTCCATGCCAATTCCTGAGTTCTTATGGTTAGTACTTTTTGAGATAGGACACAGTGATCAGTGAGTGGTATTTGACTTTTATAAGTATAAGTTAAATTAATTATTTCAGTTGTCCACCGTCCAGTGTACATAGTCTTGCTTGAGCCTTATCGACTACTTTAGCAAACTAAAGCTATCAGGCAGACATTAATGGAGATGATCAAAATTTAATGTAGGCCAAACCTAGTTGAAAATCAATTGTACAACAACTTCAAGGTAAGGGATTAGACAGCACAAAATGACACTCAATCACTTGTATCGTAATCTAAGTGTCAATAATTACAGCGACTTCCAAGTTTTTTTAAAAAGTATTATAGATTTAGTTGATCACAAAAAAAAACCTGTTAGGAATATCGATGGACCTTATAAAGGCTTTTGATAGGAAATGTCACAAAACTCATACTAAAATATGTAGGAGTAGCCTTGAGGTCACATTTTGTTGTGTTTTGGATCATATTTGTCAGATAGGAAGCAATTCATTGAAATCATGCCTAATAAAAACAATTGGCTGGTAAGAAACAGATCATAAATAACCTGATAAAAAAACCCCTAAAATCATGTTTGCATCCCTCAAAGGTTCAATATTAGGCCCTGTTTTATTTCTGTGTTACATAGATAAGATTCCAAATACACTGTCACGTCTACCTGGCGGAACTATGTGCCAATATGCTGAAGTCAACTTAAAAATTACAGGCAAAACAGTAGAACAGATTGAAATTGATACATATAGACCAAATGTTAAAAACAAATGTTAAAAACTATTTACTAGCTAATAATCTCGAGCTAAACCAAAATAGAAACGTTGATCTTTTTGTAATCTGATGAAATCAAATAAGATATATATTTATATTTATTTATTTATTTATTTATTTATTTATTTATATTTATATTTTTGCTTGTTATTGTTATTATATTGAAATATTTATCAATTGTTATCTAGTTTTGGTAATCGTTATTTTTCTCTAAAAATGTTTATGCTTGTTAACTAGGATTTATAATACGCATGATCCAATCTTTGTTAATGCATTTTTGGACAATCCTGTTCGTGTCATTTTTTCACGTTAGCAATATTTTTTTTCAGCAAGATGAATCTGAATCTGACTTATATATAATTATAAATATTTTATTGTAACTTGCCCTCATGTATTATCGATTGTAAAAATGGTGTTTACCGTATGATAAATAAATAAATAAGATGAGAAAAATAGATTTTTAAGGTTAAAAATTGATAAGCACATATTCTGGCAGGACCACAAAGATCATGTCTGCTCAAAGATTAATGCAAGGGTATTTTCACTGAAAAAGTTGTCTTATCTATGTAACATCAGTACGGTACTTTAAAAACAATATACAGGGTGGCGCAAAAGGATGGTCGAATTTGAACTGCGTAGTACTAGTAGGGGAGGGAGGGTATGATCCACTGCCGGCCGTCTGTAAGTTGACCATAGTATCCAATTTTCCATAAGATGGCGCAGTGTTGAGCGAACGGTCGAGCATTGTGTTTTTGCTTTGAAACATTTTTTTTAGAAACAGTGAATCTTTTATTAGGGTGCAACATTTTGGTGTAGCCCGTATTGGACTGGTTCCTGATCGCAGATCAATATCAAGTTGGGTGACTGCATTTTGGACAACAGGGTCCGAATAATAAGAGAATGATACAGGGTGGTGCAAAAAGGATGGTCGGTTTTGAAATGAATATAATGCAAATGATTTTACACATAAATTTTACTAACTTGCATTTCTCAACACGTTCAAATGCCCCATTGCAAAACCCGCCTAATCTTGTAAGTTTCTAACCTTGTAAGTTAGAAAGTTGCTAGTTTGCTATGTCAATCAAACAAACTACAGTATAACAATAAAAAAAATAAAAAAATCAAAGAACGTTCTTAAATAACAAACTTTCTTAAGTGGTCAATTTACTGGACTTCCACGAACAGCAGTTACTCCAAGAAAACATACAGACCGTAAGAGTGTCAGTGCTTCGAAGTCCGCTATGTTCTTTTGATGTTTAATTTTTATTTTTAAATTGTTATAGTTTGATTGACATAGCCTACTAGCAACTTTCTAACTTACAAGGTTAGAAACTTATAAGGTTAGGCGGGTTTTGCGGGGCATTTGAACGTGTTGAGAAATGCAAGTTAGTAAAATTTATGTGTAAAATCATTTGCATTATATTCATTTCAAAACCGACCATCCTTTTTGCGCCACCCTATATCATTCTCTTATCAACAGACACATTAAATACGGTATACCTTTTTGGAGCTACAACAAAGAAAAATCTAACTCGAATCCTTAAAGTAGCCTACAGTAAAGGATATTAAAAACAAAGAAGGACTTAAAGGACTAAGGACTAAAAAATAATTACAGTGTTTAAATCCATTTAGCAAATTTAAAAACACTAACAGTCGTTGCCTGTAGGCCTACACATCAATACATTTTCGAAACGGCTCTCATTGCTAATGAAAGTATAACTAATAACGTAGAATTATGCTACAATACTAGAGGAAAAGCCTCAAGAGAAAACAGTCACAATCATCTTTTCTTTCCCAATAACAAGCCCACCTGTCCAAATGAAGGATCTTGCATTTTCTTCCTAATAATTTAATGACCATCGGCAGCATCAAATTTAAAAAATAATTTAAAAATCATGCTATAGAAATTGCTCCTTACTACATTAAAGAGGAGTTTCTTCATGATTTTAATTCTTTCCATTGTTCTATTCTTACAATTATTGAATAAATATATTGAAATAGAAAAACTACAAACAAAATCAAGTGGGCACGAAGTAACTTATTAAGCTGATACAGTTTTAACGTAAATTAATTAACAGAGTTGTAAGTAAGCTTGGGATGAAATAAAGCTAATAAATTATTATATCAAATTATAAAAAAAAGGTTTCTTACCCTGTGTCTCCCAGCCCATGGAGAAAGATTAACTGAAACAAAAACAAAATCGTTTAAGTACCGGTATGCCAAGGAGTGGGGAGTGAGCCCCTGATTACTACTTGACCTGTATCACTTGTGTTCCTCAGTTTTTTATAAAATTTACCGGGAAATTTTTGGTTTTACTATTCAAGTTTTATATGTAAATATTCACATTTTAGTTCTGTGTAATATTCGGAAACCAGTTTTTTATTTTGAGCAACCGGTTGTATATAATAAAGGTTTTTCTGATAAAATTTCAAGTTTCTGCCGATTTTCAAGATAATAGTGGACTAGAGATAAGACTCCAGTACGAGTGAAACAGCAGAAGTTGACCTTTGGATATTCAGATAAGGAAGCAGCTGAAGCTCAACAAGCCAGGTTCTTTATCTACATATCACCACCTATATTCTGAACTAAGACTGATAAGAAGATCCCTGCTTCCAACTAAACATTATCATCATTAAAATCAAACCTTTATTATTTTTTTTCCTCAATTAATAATATACCTGGAAAAAAATTTAATAATTATATAAAGGAATTATCCTTTTTTATCCAGTTAAGATTTTTCCATCACTTTGAATATATATTACTTAGTATAATAAAGACACATTTTGTGTATATGTATATTCTATTGCCATTATTAAATAAATAAAGTTGTTTGCTGCATTTAGTGCTGTAAACATTGAGTACTGCAATGAGCTTTCATCTTCAGTGTTAGTGATACAGCACTGGGAGTAACAAACAGAAACAGTTTTTAATATGGATACAAACTTACTTGATGGATGGGTAAGGAAACAGACAGTTAGGAAGAAAGGATTAACTAAGGGAAAAGTTGACATATACTATTACTCGCCAAAAGGAAAAATGTTCAGATCCAAATCTCAACTTGAAAAGTACATTGATCAAAATAAACTCAGTTTAAATATTGATGACTTTGATTTTAAATCTATATTAAAATCTCCAACTAGATATAATATTTTAGAAAGTCAGGAAAGCAATTGTTTAAATGAAAGTGCAATGACAGAGGGCCAACCAAACTTTAACACCAGTACACCAGAAACCAGTGTGTATTGCAATAAAACCAACGAAACAAAATTGTCAATCTCTAGCTTAGAGCTTGGAGAAGTTCTCACTGATGAGGCTGAGGATGGATTATTGAAATTAAGGAACTGTTTGGCTGAAGCAAATGATAATGTGATTCAGTTAAAATTTCAAAAAGAAAAAGCTGAGTCTTCATTACAGGTATTGGAGTTAGAGGCAGAAGAAACTGTAATGAACCTACAACAAGATATTAAAATATTAACAGAAGACAATAAGAAACTTAAATGTGATTTAGAAGGAAAAATCAATGAAATTCAGTATTTGAAGGATCAAATATCAGTTAGCTCTGTTAATGTGCTACTATGTAAAGACTCATCAGATGAACTGAGAAAAGGACTAGCTGAAAATAAAGAAATTCAATTGCTTAACGACCAAATAAATGTGTTGCAAGCTCAAGTAAATAACTTTAAAAGAAGAAATCTACAGCTTATGGAAACTATTCAACCGTACCCACTACCTGATCCGGAGCTCATCTCAGAAATAAAATCCTTAAAAAATAAAATTTCATACATGGAAACTAAGTTCACCGAAGAATCTAATACATACAGGGAAATAATCAAGCTACTTGAAAGTGATATAAACAATCTGAAACTACAAAATGAAAAACTAAGTACCGAAACAAAACTTCTGAGAGACGACAAATTACTAACTATTACTGAGGACAGCTTTGTAATCCCTAAACATTTTGCAAAGTTAATAGATAAAGCACAGTTTGTTACCGACCCAGCAAATCTATCCAACAGATTTGAACTACTTACACCAGCTGAAGTAACCATTCAAAAAGAGTTGTTGAAATCACCAGCAAAAACTCAAAAGGGACCTGTGTGTTTGAAAGATGAATTGAAAAGTAACCATCAAATAAAATGTACAGCACACAAAGAAACAGCAAGAGACTACAATACTGTTATACGTAGTTCAGATAAGCCTAATATATTGTTTGTTGCTGACAGTCACGGTAGAAATCTGTACAGAAATCTTGTTGAAATATGGCCTACTAAAGAAGTAAACATTTCTGTTATATATAAACCCAATGCACAGCTAAATGGAGTAATAAATAACTTAGGTGAACTGATAAAAATTTTACAAAATCTGACACTGTCATTGTCATTGGTGGTTGTAATGACATTGGAAATGGTGATGAATTACTAATTAGTAAATATCAAGATATCATTGACAAGACAACCCACACGAATGTTATGATTTCAGGATTACCTTACAGACACGATGTGCCTGGTCTCAACAACCGTATCGCATTTTTAAATATAGAACTTGAAAAAAAAGTTAACCAAAATGAGCATACCAAATTTCTACCTCTCAACCTTTTACCAAGGCAAATGTATACTAAGCATGGTTTGCATTTTAACCGATCAGGAAAAAAAGAAGTTTCTAAATTGATCAAACATTGCATCTACGGAACTAATTCAAACCAGCAGAAGAGTAACTTAAAACTGGCTACTGAGGAGATCAATGATGAGTTTGTATTAGATATCTCTAACGTTGAAGGAATTAAAGTGGTGGTGGCAGACATGTACAAGGTGATCAAAGCTCTAAAAAATGACAGCTCAGTAGCTTTTGCCCACACAATCTCTGGTGATTTTCAACACCCTAGAAGGATGACTGCCGGTGTAGCAGTTTCTTTTGCTAGGCATTTTGGGAAACCCCAATTAAAGGATTGCTTGTCTAAATCTTTGGCCTACCAGAGAAGCAACCCTAAGGAGGCAGCAGTCTACAGCCTTATAACAAAGGACAACTTTAATGGCAAGCCTACTCTGGATGGTTATGACTCAGCATTTGGAGCTCTGACTGATGAACTCAAGACTAAGAAATTCAGTGTGCTGATATGCTCCCCCATGGGTTGTGTGCGAGATTTTGTTCGAATTGAACATTTTTCAAGGAAAATAATGGAGTTTCATAGGACCACTGGCATTCCAATCATAGTGGTAACAAAAGAACAACCTGGTGCTCAGAGAATACTTCACCATGGACTCTCCCATTCAGAATTTGTCCTTAAGCTGAGACAGAACATCCAGACATTATGCCCGGCAAGCAAACCAACAACTGTACCACTGACACTCTGCTCATCTCAACCGTCTTCGCAGCAACTACAACCACTATCTAGTTCTCCACAGCATCACTCACAACCAACTTCAACACAACTTCCTGCTGTTGGTCTTATCAGCCCCCGGTTGGTTCCAGGCGGTCTCAGCTATAACGAAGTTGTTAAGTCAAAACCATCGAGTGTTGTGAAAAAGCAGAGCAAATGTGTGGTGTCAAGTGTTGAGGGTGATCCATCAGTGTTAGAGTTAGATTCCAGTTTAGATGATAGTTCTCCTTTAATTTTAAACTGATTTATTCTGACAATGACCTTGTACCTGCTAAATTAAGTAACTTAGATAATTCTTTGCACAAAACAAATTCACTGGCTCAAAATAACGAACTAAAAGGTTTATGTAATCAATCTTTTTATTCAACTAACTGTGATTTAATAATGCATTACAATTGTCAAGGTTTAAATTTAACAAAAATTTCAGCTCTTAATTTATTTTTATCTGAGGCCAATTTGAATATTAAAGCTATATCTTTTAATGAACATTGGTTAGATCATAATTCAGTCTCTCTGTTAAATACAATCAATAATTTTAAATTGGCTAGTTCTTATATAAGAGAAAGTGGCTGTAGGGGCGGATCTTGCATATTAGTGGATAAGAACTGTAAATATGTAACAATAACACAGTTTTCCAATTTAAATGAAGACTTTATTTTTGAATGTTCTGCTATTGAACTTGTGGATTTTAATTCAATTTTAATTTCTATTTATACAGTACCAAATTTCAACATAAGTAAACAGTTTTTAGATAGACTTAAAATTCTATTTTTGATAATACAGAAAAAATTCAAAAAAAATACTGTTTTTGTAACTGGAGATTTTAACATAGACATTTTAACGAATGACACATTCACAAGTAGATTTAAAGAAATTGTCGAATGTAATGGTTTTTGTTTTCAATTTGAGGAGCCAACTAGAATAACAAATACTTCATTTACTTGTTTGGATAATTTTATCACACCCAAAACGTTTAGTTGCCATTACAGGTTAAACACTGAGTTAGGTCTTTCTGATCACAATGCTATATTTATAAACCTCCCTAAGCTAGCCAAGTGTAAAACCACCAAGAATACTTCTAGTTCTTTTAAGAAAAGAATCATCTCTGATAGAAATAAAGATGAATTTTGCAAATATCTACAGAGCACTAATAATAATTTTGTATTTAACGCCGCTTTAAACCCCAATGAAAATTACAATAGTTTTTTGAGAAATTTTTTATTATCTTTCAATCATATATTTCCTGTTAAATAACTAAAAAAGAATGCTAAAACTAATAAATCTACTCTGAATTGGGTGACCCAAGGTATAAGAATTTCCAGTAAGAGGAAACGAGAATTGCACTTGGAAGCCAAGTTTAGTAGAAACCAAGAGTTTTTATCCTATGTAAAGCAATACAAAAAAATATTTAATAAAGTTGTAAAAAATGCAAAAATTCTCTCAAATAATAACCTAATTAGAAAATCTGAAAACAAGTCTAAGGCAGCTTGTCAAATTGTTAACAATGAACTGGGTTTAAACCGTACTCAAAGATACAAAATTATTTTAAAAGATGATACTAACCAAACCACTGTTGATAATCCTGATGATGTAGCTAAGCTTTTTAACAGTTTTTTCTGTAATACAGTTATTAATCTGAATGTAAAAAAGGCTTCTGTCAATGGTGTTCATTCGTCTGTAAAATCATACTGCAGTGATGGTGGGGTTACATTGTGCAATCTTAGCCCCACTAATAAAGATGAAATAAAAAAGATCATCCTTTCTCTAAAGAACAAAATTTCAGTAGGCTGGGACGAAATCCCAATT